ACGGCAGTACTGAATTTCCACTTTTTCTCACAAAAATGTTTTCCCATCTTCCTAAATAACTTCCAATTAGCTTCAGAATGTAAAGACAAAGCTATTACTGACATTCTAATTTTAAAAGTTAAAATATTGCTAATTTCAGATAGGAATACCTGAACTGAGGTAGGGTTCTCACACAGACAGACATGTGTAATCAGATGGTTATCGCTTAGCAGAGGAAAAGTTTATCCTTATTTTCAATGGGTTGAGTAAAAGCTATATAATTATTCAACCAATTTGTAACAGTTGAACATCCATAAGAAATGCCATGATGGAAATACTTATATATACATTTTTAAGCACATTGCTCATTATTTTCTTTGCAAAAATACCAACAGGTGGGACTACTGGGTTAAAATACATGACCATTAAAACTTTTTTTTTTAAACTCTCAAAAAAACTTTTCAAATAGACCTTTTAAAAGCTCTTGCAAAACTGATTCCCACAAATGTTGTGCCAAGTTATATCCCCACCTGTGGTGGATGAGAATATTGACTTTCAACTTTAATTAGTGGCAGGCCCAGATGGCTCCTAAATTGGAGGAATTTTTTTAATGCCTAATATGTGAGTAATTTAAGAAAAGAAAGCGTATTTTCTGCGGGGAGGTAGCTGCTCCCTGCTTCCTTTGCTCAGGCATCATTTGGGCCCTCGTGGGTGCAGAAACCTTTGCTCCAGCTGCTCATCTCAATCCTGTGAATCTCAGAAGCTTAAGACTCCAGCTATCATTATAGTTTTACCCTCTGTCTTTGATGCAGGAAGGTGTTCCTTTCTTGGTCTTTATCTTTCAAACACACATACACAATTTTATATGTCATTTCTAAGTGTAGGAGCAGAATGGGGTGGTTTTGGCAAGAGATCATGCTACCATCTTGATCCTGAAGTCTATTCTGAATCTTGACAGCTATCTCTATTTTCTTGAATTAATACTGTAGACTTTTTCATAATCATATATTTGTACGTAAATTATATATTTATTTATAAGGGCTTGAAATGGACTGTGTGTGTATGTGTGTGATATTTCTCTTTATACGAGCTTGAATGTAAAGAGCTCTCTACTCAGAATTCGTTTTTGACCCTTGGAAGAATGTGTGAACCCCCTGGATGCCCTGACATTTGACCATGCTGTTGGAGTTACATTCTCAAAGCTCAGGTGGGAGGCTGGCCCACGAGTCCCTGCACTGCATGTATAAGGATCATGCAGCAGTCTGAGTAGGGTGAGAAGGGAGCCGGGACCACAGGCGGCTGTGCGGAGCAATGTGGCTGGTGGTGCAGAAGCCGCTATGCTGGGTCCCCTTTACATTTAGTCACATGGATGCCCCAGTGCATGTAGAAAGTGCATCTAGGCGGTTTAAGGGACCAAGCCCCAGCTGGCCTTCTGCTTTACAAAAGGTCTGTGTGGACCTTGAGATTCAACAAATGGCACAGACTCACCGAGATAACAGAGTAAGAAGAGTCCATCTCCCCACCAGCCAGTCTTTGACTTCATTCATTACCCCTTCAAATTAGAATGCACTAGGGGTGCCCTCCTGCCGGGGTTCCCTCCAGTTACTCCCATAATTGCTACTGTTGTTTAGTAGAGGGAGTAACAAGTTGGACTTTGGTCTTTTCTTCTATGTGGTCCTACCTAAGTTGAAGAGATTTGGGGATTTGCCTGTAACTGCTAGTGCTTTTGCAGATTTCTACCCTATTTTTATATTCCATTCATCATTTCCAGGGGAAGGAAAGTAGATGCCTGTGTTTCCACTGCCAATTTACCAGGAAGTAAGTAAGTTCTTCTATTAAAGACCTCCTATTGGATATCTGACCAGGTATTGTTTTAATATACACTTTTTCTTAAATAGAACTGCCTCTTCCTGCTTTCATTACAGAATTTTGTTAGTCTAGAAGTCAATCAAACAAACATTACACTTCAGAACATGTAGTTATTTCAAATAAAGATCACACTAAAGCATGACAAGAATGACCATGTAAATACTGATGGAGATCAACATAAGCACATCCAGGGGTTCCGGTCCTGATCGAAAATGCCTATTTTGTCTATGTACTGTTTCACTGCAAGCAATGTGACAGAGCAGACCTAAGTCTCCTTATGGTTAGCAATAAACAACCGAAAGATAAGACACTGACTCAGACATTTAACCGCAGCTTCCTGTGATGATTACATTCTAACTCAAAATCGATACCAACCTTAAATGTTATATTTTAAGAAAAGCTCTCATCTATCACATTTGCAAATGTACCCAAGATGAATGAAGCTTTAGAAAATAATGACTGAATACCACAGAGAAAAAGTAGTAACGACTGAAATGAATTCCTTTAAACAGTAACAATGGGGTACCACCACTAGCAGCAGCAGCAGCCATGCTCATTTATGGAGACTCTTACACGGTCAGGCGCTCTGTTAGCTACTTTACATGCTCTCTCATTTAATCCTCCAGTCCTACCACTTCAGATATTATGACCTCTACCTTTTATATGAGGAAACAGGCCCAGGGGTTAATACTTTGCCTAGTGAAGATGGATGATCAGCTGGGGCACCTCTGAGGACCATCAGAGATTCTGAGGTGCACTGTTTCCATGGATTCAAAGTGCTGCTTGCCTCCAAGCTGCCTCTGTGATTCACATACTTCCCACTGGTGGAGGTATTCTTATGGGATGTGAATGGCCACGTTTCCAATGCTGTGGAAAGCACTGGTGTTCCCTGTGATTCTACATCGGGGTCCTTAGGTTGGGGCTCATCAGCACTCTAAAAACAGATGCAAAATGTGTGCAATTGCACATTTCTGGGAAGAGGGCTTTTGCTAGATTTCAGTGGAGTCCATGATCCAAAAATGGTTGAGAATTGTCCAGATATTACTTAGAGACTGGTTTTAAGCTATAAGACATAAGAAATCTTATCCTCATTTCTGACAAAATTTCATAGTATAATATGCTAGAGTGTACTTAAATTAAGAAGAAAGTAGAGGTCATTACTCAAGTAAAAATTTCAAATGGTAACTTGAAATAACCAGATAGCCACAGCAAAGGAAATGAGGTGGAGACTGTGGCTCAGTTGTCTACCTCATGATTGTAATTTTCTGCTCTTCACTGTGATGGGAAAAGCTACTGCTTAAAGAAAAAGAAAAATGGGCTAAGTTTATCTGAATTATCACACTTACAAAGATATATCATACAAAATTATCAAAGTTCTGAGAAATATGCAAACATTAGCAATTGTATTTCTAAATAAAAAGACAACATAGAAACTATTTGCTAGTTTTAAATAGCAG